CAGCAGAGCGACATCTCCGTTTTGTTGCTTATCTTGATTGTTAAATTATCTGTAAAAATTGATCATTTATTACATCAAAATACAGAAAAAAAGATTTTTTTTTAATTTCCTATAACTTAGTAATTCTTACGTATTCTAGTTTAATGCACAAACCAATGTTATTCGTGCTTTTAAAAGTTGTAAATTATCGCCTATTTAAATGATGATTATCATTTCGAAGTATTTTTTAATTAAAATCTATTACATATCAAAAACTAATTATTAAGCCTTAAATGTTTTTACATTAATACATTTATTTTTTATTTATTTATCTGATATATTTACATTTTTTATTTTTTTTTTTTGATAGAATGATTGGTAATAATCATTACTGATTGTACCTAATATTATGTACATTGGACTTCAAAAGGTTATATTTTGAATTATTTCAATATTATTTCTCGCGTTTTTTTTTAATACGTAGGTTAAACAACACGAACAATATTCAAATTTACATAGGTATCAATAAACATTCATTTTTTTTAATAATTTAAAAAAAATCAACGTAATGGTAATATATAGGTACAATACATCACTTCTTACAAACTGTTTTTAATCGCGGTACAAAGTAGACACATATAATGGTTTACATTTTGAAAAAAAAATTGTGCAGTATTTTTTAGAGTTTAATACTTTTATGATTTCTAGGTACTAAATTAATGGAATACCTAATTTAAAGTATTTAAAATCGTTTTCCAGATAGTATTTCTTAATAAATACTGATTTTTTAACTGATATTTTATAATTGCTCTTTGATATTCATTATCTTTAAATACCTACTAAAAATTATCGTTATAAACAAAGTAGCTATTTCCATCATACTAATTATATAACGCCAATTTATAAATAAATTTCTTTAAAGCTCAAAATGTATTGATCAGGCCATAATAATAATGTTATATTATTATAAACTATAATCATTGTATATTTAAATATTTACATGATATTCATTTTTAATTGTATTAGAAATCTTACAAATCAAATTGCATGAATCTCATTCGGAATTTAAGTAAACACTTGCCGTCGTGTTTTGAAATGATAGTTGGCGGATGTGATGGAATACATGCTATTTTAACATGTATGAAAGATTTAGATGTGTCAGTGAGAGAAGTAGCTTTACAAGCAATTAGTTCCATCGCTGGTCAAGATCCCAGTATTTCACTACACATCATAAGTTCTGGTAGGTACTTAAATTAATTAAAAACAATCATAGGCCATACTAAATATGACTTAAAGTACAATTAGATTAAAATAGGGGTGAATGGGTACTTTTACAGTATAGGGAAAAAATTTAAAAGGCCATATACTTTCAAATTGCACGAATGCCAAACCACATACAATCATAGAACTGATGCAACATATTAACTATCGTTACATCAATATTTTATTTTATAACATACATCTATAAGACCATAACATTTTAATTGGGACCACAAGCAGTTAGACCGTCACAGATAATATTTTTATGACTGTATATGTATAGCCTATCTACTATTGGATTAAATAGATGATAGACGCAACTACACTTTTAAAGAATACCTATGATAGATGACCTACCTACCTATTTGTCATTAGCGTTTGCATATATTTGTTTTGCTCAGTCACAAAAATAGCCGAGTACGAAATAAGTAGTTATTTTCATGCTTTCACAAAGCTAGTTTTGAAATTTTATTTTGGATATATGTATAAATGCATATCTTATACGCATTCAAATGCATATTTGGTGACTTTTTATGGCTACAAATCATATGTCCTTTTTTTCCTTTTGTATCGAGAGCCAGAGAAGGAACCGCGTAAGCATTACTTTTCCTCTGATTCTCATAGTTTATTGATTACAATAACATCAACAATTATTAGCGGTGGGACAATCCCCCACTCACTATAATATTACAACAAAATTTGTCAAGTTCCGGGTACAATAGTGGGAGGCACTGCCTACCTAGGTGCTTTCGGCTTCAATAAATTGCTTAATCAACTAGATTGATGTCCGGATTCTGCGTCAGGATATAACAGATCATATGTCCTGGTTATTAGGTACAATAATTTACAGTTATAATTTGTATTCATAATTAATTTAAGTTAAATTATTGAACCTACAATCAGTAACTACAAAGAAAATCATAAAAAAATCAAAATTACGTAAAAAACATTAAAGCACTATTTAAAATTATTTTCTCAAAAAAATTACTGTTTAAATATTGTGTAAAATAAAATTACTAATTTTTTACTAAAATCTTGTAGGTAAAATTTATTTCTGTATTTTGTTTTTATTATTTTATTTTATTGTTTTAAATACACACAGTTAATTTAATTAATTTACCAACGTTAATTCCCTATATATATATTATATATAATACATAGGTAAAAATAGGCAATGTGTTGATTGAATAATTTATTTAATATTTATCCATATATATAAAATATCAATGTATATTAATTATAGACAGTATTAATCTGAATTTGCGTTTCTCTAAAATTATATGTTATTATAAATGTTTAAATGTGCAGGTATATTGCCTCAAATTGTTCAAAGCTTAAAAGAGGAACGAAACAATTCTAAATTATATGCTTTGACCACTTTAAGCGAGATAGCTAAACACAACCAAAAATTAGCCAATAAAATTTTGACCGTGAATACTTTACCTCAAGTGATAATTTTTTTATCGACTGATTATAGCACAGAAATTAAACTTCAGGTACATTATTAAGTATGAAAACAAAAATTATATAAAAAAAATTTTATGCACTAGGTCAAAAAGCTTGAAAATTTAATAGAAGGTTTTTATAAGTTTTTATCATAGAAATCGACAAATATTAAATATCTATTCATGCGATTCTTTTTTATTAGCATTCAAAGTTCAAATTTTAACAAATCTTATAGATATTTTCAAAACGTTCAAATTAATTTATTATAGTTAAAATTTACGAAATGTTAAATTTTTATAGTTCAGGACCATAATTTTTTTTAAATTTTTTTTCAAATAAATTTTATAAATTAATGGCTTGCAGGAATATAAATGATAATTTTTGGCAGCTAACGTTTGACCCTGCTATATAATTGTACATTGTTATTATTTTATTGTTCATATTATTATTATTGGCCTTTATCCGGTTATTATTGTTTTGTTTTTTTAATATTTGATTGTTAATATTTTTAATATTTAACAATTTTTAGGCAAGTGCATTAGCATTGATAAAAAATATTGCTAAGCACTCGTTGACTTTAACCGAAACAGTAATCAAGTCACACATATTTCCAGAAGTATTACTGCTTATGGCGCATCCCGACGAATCTATACGTTACAATTCATCTGAAGTCGTTTGTGAAGTAGTTAAACATTCTGTTGATGTACGATCACACACATATTAAAATAAAATATTAGAAATAAGATATTACTTACATGATTATGATCGTTCAAGTAGTAGCTCATACGAAACAAACAAAACCACCAACCATAGGCGGACATTTGGTTAAATTTTTAGGGGGGCTATAACAATCAAATGTAAAGTGACTCGCAGGGGCTTTGCCTCCGCACCCCCTTCCTATACAAAAATATATAATATTACTAATACAAATATAAATGTTTGTTATAATAATAAAAAAATAATAACATATGCTTAAAAATAATTAATAATTAATTTTATTTTAATAGCAAATATCTGTTTTTATCAGCAAGGATATTTAAAATATCATTGCTATTAATATTTTTGGACATATCTTTTTCGATATATAGTAGGCACCGAGAGACCGTTTCTATCGTCAGATCAGTCATGACTCATGACCCCGCCAGTTAATTTTCAAAAAAAAATTAACAGATAATTATTAAAACAAATAATAGCATTATAGCAATAATAAAATTTCGAATGAAGTTTCGATTTTGGGGGGTCTATTAAAATATTTGGGTGGCTAAGCCCCCCCCCCGATGTCCGCCTATACCACCAACGATCTTTTATATTATACCTATAATAATATCATGAAAGATTGGAGTGCCTATAACTGGCCCACACTTGAATTTTTCATATCATAATAAAATATACGTACCTACTTATGTATCATATGTTATATAGATTTCAAAGATGATTGTTACTACTGGAGGTATAGTTTCATTGTTGAACGTCATTTTGAATAGCAATGAATATTCTTCTACTCCAGCTGTACTCGCGTTGGGATACATTTCCTCCGGGTCACCATTACTCGCGACGGCTGTTATCAACTCCAAGGTTTCAGTGCTTATTATAAGATATTTTATTAAATTTTGATATACCTATCTATCATAGGCGTGTCTAGACACCTTTGACGCAGAGGGTGCAACCTGCAGGCTAATGGGCCCTAGCCCCCTTTTTTGAACAATTTTTCTTAATTCATTGTGCCACTTGAAATTGCAGAGGGTGCAGGTGCATACCCTGCACCCCCCCAAGGACACGTCTATGATACCTATCGATAATACATTTAAAAAAAAAGGTATATAAAAATTAAAGGTGACATTATTATCTAGGTTATCACATAGGCTTTTTATTATATTTTAATTTTAAACCGAATTATGGGTATTTTTAAAATTCTAAATTGTTTGTATATCTTAAAATACTCATAACTTGCTTTGAAATTAAAATATAATAAAAATCCTATGTGATAGTGTGGCGTCCTCTTAACATGATCATTATATATGGTGAACGGTGATAAATATAATAGTTAAAAATAATTTTTGAAAAATTTAAAGGATTAAGGAGATACCTACTTCAAATAGTAGATACTAAGATACTACACCTAAATGTCTGAATTCCAAAAAAAAATATTAATTTTAGTATTAGTAAAAGTATCAATATTTAGTTGTGCACAATGAAATAATTGAAAAAGTCATATTACGTGCAATAAATCATTGTAGGTTTAATCGACGAATTTGTGAATTTTACGGAACATCCCGATGATCTGGTATATGACTTACCTACATGGCTAAATATAACATAATAATACAAAATACATAATATGAACTGCTTGTAACTTTCAGGTACTGAAACATTTGACTACCATCCTAAAAAACGATACAAACGACGATTCTTTAAAAGCCAGTGCGGCATGGACATTAGAAATGATAGGTCAACACAGTGATAAACATTCGAAATCCATTTTTGATTGCCATGCCGTGAGTGCTATGATTGATGTGAGAACGACAAATAAAACCCTACAAGCAATTAGCGTCTAGTGATGTGCGTTAGTATGGCGTTACCATCAATAAGGCTTATTTCTTTTATTCAGGTTTACACTGACTCAAGTCCAACACAAGAGGCAAATCATAAATGCAAAAGTGCCATTGAAATCATAGTGAGAAAATGTGAAGATTTTGGTGTTTTAGAAAAATTGTTGACACCATCAACTCCTATAAAAATAATGCCACACATACTTCTTAAGATGAGCAATGTATTCTCTGATTTTCCGTTAATTATACAGCTATTTTATATTTTACGCGTAGATGATACTGCATCATAATGAAACGATATAAAACAATTAGATAGTATATTAATTTTAAGCACCTATTAGCCATCAATTCAAAATAAATACGATACTTAAATTTTTTATATTAATGGGTGTTACACATCGTACAATTTTGAGCTAAAAAGCTATATCTACATAAAGTTATGAAAATATTCATGTAGGTAAATGCATTAGTATTATATAGTTATAATTAACTAACTAAATATTGTAACTTAAATAATTATATTTAAATTGTGTATTACTTGTATTACAATTTACCCATTTTAATATTATTCTATTTAACATAATATAAAAAATTTAAAATCTAAACACATTTAATAAATGAACATTTATATCTATTATCAAAAAGTAAATATTTTTACTCGAGTATAAATTTTAAGTGAATTAATATTTTCCTACATTTATTGATTTAAAATTTTTTTTATTTGAGTTATTTATGAAACTTAACACTCATACTTTTTATGATTATTTATAAATTATTTAATGACATCGTATATTTTTAAAAGACCAAGACCACAAGTCAGCATTATTTACAATTGATAAATATATTTTATTATCATGTAGGCACCTATCTTTAATTTTAGATCATATTTACCAGTCATTTATTTTCTAATTAAATAAAAAAATTATGTTAGGTAAGAAAAATACAATTTTTAAATTCTCAAAAAAAAAAACAAACAAAAATGTTTAAGCTTACATCTCTAGCTATAATACAATATGTGTATATAAAGCTTTCATAATAAATAACTAAATAAGTGACAATTACGTTTCTATCACAATTTATTGTATTCTCTATAATCTATCTACCTATATAAATAAATTGTCTTTTTTCGCTATATCTGTTATTACTACTTAATTATTTGCTGTTGTTTTTTTCATTAACAAATTATAGTAAATATAACTATTTAATAGGCAAAATAACTAAAATGGTTTACTTGTTGACTATATAAATATAGTTATTTGTTATCCCAGATTGAGATGCGTTGGCTAATATTCTTGCATTTAAATTTTATACAGGATAAATTCTCTCTAATTTTGGAAATAAAAGGGTAAAACGTATTATTGTGAACGTAAAATTTACTATGTTGTACGTTTGTAAGACGAAGAAAACAAATGCTTGTATGGCGTCCTCTTTACAAAACATTGATCTATTTCAATCTGTTATTTTATTTTATTTAAGTACCTACACGTATTTATCTGTTTGATTTGGATTCCACCCGTTTTGTTCAAATTAATAAATATATTATTTTAAGCATTATTACTAAAAGCTATGTAATTACAGTACAATATTAAACATTTTGATTCAGATGTTGCCAAAAAGCTTTAAAGCACGGCGAATTTTTATTAAAAGTGGACATTTGAAAATGATTCAAAACCTTACATCAGATATCAATTCAAATTTGTACCATATTATCAAATCTGTTAATTGTTGTTTCCCAGAGGTTATACTACAGTAAGTTTAACATAATGAGCTTTAAAATTTAAATAAATATTTTATTTTAACATTTAAATTAGAATGATAGCTGGAGACATCCCAGAATCGGTTTTGAAAAAATCGGATAAGTATGTACCAAAAGATCAATGTTTGTTAAAGGATCCAGACAAATAAGCAATAGTTTCACCAATCCTGTTTAGAAGCGGAGAATACTATCCGAGATGGAATCGGTATTTAAATATGATAAATTGTTATCTGTTTGATAAATTATATTTATTAATCCTACCTAAATGATAAATATATTTATATTTTATCTTTATATTTATAGTGTGTAACTGTGTAAGTATGTAGTGTTGATTATAAATACGTATAATTTCTATACACAATAATACAATATAGGTACTATAGGTACACAAATAACCTAAATAATCATTATGTAACAGATTCAGGTGATGGGGAGTCATAGAGCTAAGTATCAACGGGCTAATAATATTTCAATTTTTTTATAAAAATATATTTATCTAATAGTTAAATTGTACAAGTAATTTAGATGATGTCAGCTAATATAATATGTCAGCACACTGTTTATGTTTTCTTTCTCAAGCCCAGGCACAATACATACACAACAACAAAACGTATTCACTCAAAACTGATTTTTTAATTTTCTTCAGTAATCTTAGAGTAAAGTCACCCATTGCAAAAAATATAGAGAATAATATTTATGAGGGTATGACATATGGATTTGTCAAAAATTGTCTCGAAATAATTTAATATCTATTCCAATTTTTTCAATCACATTGACTATTAAAATGAAATCCTCTTCTTATTGCCATCTCGCCCATAATCAAGTCAAAAACTAGATCTAAATTTTTATTTTTCATTTATACTACTTTAGATTTAATTGCATTTATTGATTCAGCTGCAGTTATTCCAGGCGAACCATCAATAACTGAGTACCATTTGCGAATGGTACTTGCACGAGGCAAACATTTGTTAACGTTTTCCGTACATAATTGTAAGCAGTTGGTGAATATAGAAATGGAGAGTGAGCGCAAATGATCGCAGTTCTGAAGTCACTGTTTTTCCTGAAAATTGATTTAATTGCTTCATAACCATTTCGTGCTGACTACTTGATAATGATTCCTAAATAATGATTTAGTAAAATTTTTTTATTAATAAGTATTTTTATGTGTAGTTTAAACATTTATACCTTCAGGACGGTAAAGTAGTTGTTTGATATACCTAAGGTTTTTGTCGTTTTTAAGGTGATCACCAAGTCTTCTAACGTATTGATACGTTTTTTTAAAGTTAACTGTTTGCTTATGTAAATATTTTATCCACTTTCTCTGATTATTTGTAATTTTTTGCGAAGCAATACAGTACTTCAATCGGCTGTTGGGGCTTTCGATATCATTGGGAGATCTAAAATCGCCCATAAAACATTTCCTTTTCCTATAATAACACATTTTTCAATAGTTATTATAAAATATATGATCCGTTTTTAAAATAGTCATGAAACTTACTTATTAGAGGTTAAGTTTTCTTTAACTGTGTTAACACTTTGCGAGGAAGCTGGTGAAAAATCAATATATGAACTTGGTGGTTCTTCTACAACTGAAGGAGCTAAAACGTAATAATACATGATCACAGTACCTACTTAATTAAAAAATTAAAAAAGTTTGGCATACTTAGCTCAAGAGATTCTGAATAAAGATCAGATAGTGATAAAGTAATTACTTCTTCTTCTACAGTTTCGTCAGTAATAATTGTTGGGTCATCAAATAGCATTCTACGTGCAGCTAAAATTGTATCATTAATTTCTTTTAATATTGAATTTAATGTATTATAGGTACATAGATATAATTATATTGGTATTACTATAAGATTTACGAATGATACTTGTAATTAACCGAAAAAATCATTACTATGTATTCAGTTGGGCACAGCCCAATTACATTTATGATAAATAAAAAAAATAAGCAAATAGGTTACTAAATACTAAGCACAGCATTTTTTTTATGTTTTTGTTTTACAAATGCTAGTACTTGAAACTTCATAATCCAAGTCAGAATCAAAATGTAGACCGCAAATATTTGAACTAATGGTCTTCGCAAACAATGAATTGTGCTACTTAATAAATTGTATCCACAATTCACCAACATCTCCTTTTGGAAACCTAGAAAATGTATAAAAGTTGTTGAATAATTTATTGGTGTAAAATACTTAAATAATTAGATAACTATTTTTTTTTTTTACAACATACATATGTTAAATTAAATGATAAAAACTGAGATTTCAAAATAAATTATTCTGAATATTAGCGTTTTTGTGGATGGTACAAGTTAGAGTATTTTTTATAATGGACTAGTTGTTTAATTTTGAAAAAATGTAAGCTTGATAAAAAGATCAGCAATGGGTAGGTAGATACATTGCGTAAACAACTAGGTAGAAAAGCAGGATTGTTAGGGGCCAAATATTTTATAAATTATTCCTTCATATCTAATAACTGAACTGTATTAAGGTCCATTCCTATATTATTAATAAAGGTAAATATACAAATGTCAAAACATTATTTGGATCAAGTGTTACTAAAAAAAATGTATCACACTGGATCGTCTTTGATGGGTATTATGTACCTATATGATTTATAATAAAGCATATAATTAATCATTTAATTCAAATTTAATATATTATCTATTACCTACTGACTTACTCAATGATAAGCTAATATACCTAAGCTCTATAGTCTTTACTATACAGTAGAGCCGTTAGGTACCTACTTACCCACCTGTTTAGTTTTAGGTATTTTATAAGATACATAATAATAATAATATAATTTTGTGATATTAAATGTGGCCACATGATTACTTGTACTAGTTGTATCCAATAACCAAGATCAAAATCTGTAGGACATCACGTATGCTTATAATTATTTATAATATAATTTATTATAATTTTATAACCAATAAATGATCCTAACGAAGAAAATATGCTTCTAAAGATACTCAACTTACACGATTTAAAATAATGTACTAAACATGTAATATTAACGAAATTTCAAAGTATAATGCACGCGAATTTAAAAGAACGCACTATCTGATCAATATTCAATAAATGATTTCACAGCCAACGTAATTAATCGGTTTAATCTTTTCTATAGGTACCTACCTAACTCATTAAATGGATTCGTTACTCCTTAGGAAATTTATACTTACAATATATTATATTTAGTATAATTTCTACATAATATTATAAAGTAAAATCAATTTTTTATATTCTAATAAAATTATTATATTGTTGTTATTCCTTAGGGCTTAGAGGCTTAGAGGATTTTAACAACGCTAGAATTGTTTGGTGATGGTAGAGAGCGAGGGTATGATTTATACTTTTCTTTTTTTAAACATTTATGTCATTTATGTTCAACATTTTATATCGAGTTATATATTGCAGTCATTATAACAAACGTCTTTAGTAATATACATATATATACATTTTTTTTTGTAGAGATGCATACGGTTCCAACAATTCTATATATATATACCAATATTTATTTTTACATAAGGCTCATAATAACTTATGCTTTATGTATTATGTGGCAACATGGCTCAGATAGTATGTAGATATCTAAATGTCTAACAGAGTAATCTCATACAAACAACGGGAAAAACATCCTATCTCATCACATGTGGCTTTATTTTTGTTCCTTATGAATATAAATGAACAGACGGAGCCGGCTTCAAAAAACTATACTATTATACTCGTAATGCTGGATCTGGTCTACGCGGCGTGGCGACGGCAACTACTGGCAAGTTAAGTTATCCCCTCAGTTACATCGAAATGTGGTAATTACTATGACTGCAGTAAATTATTAATAATAATTATTAATTGTTGTTTTCGAGAATTCAGTATATTGTGAGAAATGATAATATGAGAATAAGCGAACAACTCAATATCCCAGCGGGTCTGCTCCCGCATAGTTACATTGTCTTTTATAAAATATAGATCATATTAATTAACAGAATATTTTGTCAATTCATTACTTATTCCTCGCTCATGTCAGTTRATTAAACACATAATACGATGCATATATAATTTCGTGGAACTTATGTCATTAATGATTTAACATTATAATATTATATATTATTCATTTAAGTAATAATCTMGTTTTGATTTGGTTATCTCGTTGTTCTAGTATATTATCTACTAACTTATAATATACTAACCTACCCAAATTATTTCGTTCAAATGTCTATATAAAGGCGTACGTATTGGTATTAATATAATAATATGATACTATATCACTGATATCATATCAACAATAAATTTGATTCATATCACGTTAATTCAAATATTTTTACGTCCGTGATTTATTTACTATACGTAATAGCATATTATATAGATACCTTCATTACATTTTATTTTGTTAGACATTTTTTCGTATTTTGTCTTTATATTGCTTTTTTATTTTAGTTAATACTAAACATTTAATAATAATTTTCAACCAACTATAAACTTGTCATGTCATATTAATATATTAATATATATTATAATTATGGGACATAACTACATAAGTATTCAAACATTTTCCCCACGGATCCTTTGTTTTTTTATAACATGCTGACGACTCCAAAATTATTGATGACAAAAAAAGAGAATGCCTATCTATAATTTATCAAGTGTATAAATTTAATTGTTRATWATAATACACGTTTTATTATGTACCTACATAAATTATCAGTACGGCTACGGCCCATTTGGCTCGCAMCTTTCCCAAACGGCTCCTGTCGTACAAAACGGATCCCATTGTATAAATATGTCGATTCCTTAACGGCACCCGTTTATGAAAATTCCTTCCTACTCCATACAGGTTTAGGATTGTCTCAGAAGAAG